AAAAGATTCATACTAGATTACGCTTAGGGCTTAGTGTCCTTAATGACCACTTGTACAAATATAATCTTACATTAAATAGGTTTTGCTAAAGGACATTTGCGCTTTTAACTTTGATACACCTGAACAAAATAGACAACTAGAAGACATTTGCGCTTTTTACCTATAATAGTTGTATACCTGTAATCTTTAGAAAATTTACCAAAGTCATGGAAAGATGTTCATATATTCATTGAAAGGTCATCCGAACAAACGAGAAATTCAGAAAAAAATATTAATGTTTTCAATCATACGATCTAAATAATAAAAAAAAAACAGATTATTGTCCTGAATGTTCGTGTAATAGTACTAATGCTGACAGAAAGACCTTGGTCATCAGTTCTAATCATCTTAGATTACTAACCTTTCAGAGCTGAAAAAGTAAAGATCATGCATCCTTATTGTTCAGATTGATAAAGTGTTTTCCATTCGTCGGCATTATCTCCGATTTAAATACTATTGATCTGATAACCGCTGTGTATACTTAACGACAGGGCTAGTTTTCTTATCAGATAAGTAGTAACCTCCCTTGTTAATGTGAAGTTGTAATCAATCGTATTTTTACCATCTTTATGTATATTTCATTGTATTATTTAAATTTGTGATTCATTCAATATTTAAATATAATAATTTTATATTGTATTTTAGATAAATACAAGGAAATTTGACAGTCTTTGATTCATTAATTACCTTTGTTCAAATCATAAGTCAGACGGTCTATTCTGTCTACATTAAGTAGTATATACACCGGGGTTTCAATGGCTATCAAAAAGGAAAGGAAAATATTGTTAACGTAAAATGAGAATTAAATAGAGCAAAATGCAGAAATTGACTGCAAATGTCGATTCTTTTCTTGTTTAGAGAAATCAAAAACGAAAAACAAAAACACTTGATATTCATTTTGGTTTTTGAAAAATCAAAAACGAAAAATGAAAACACTATCGTTTTCCGTTTTGGTTTTCGAAAAATCAAAAATGAAAAACGAAAACACTTTTGTTTTTCATTTTGGTTTTAAAGAAATCAAAAACAAAAAATGAAAACACTTTCGTTTTTTGTTTTTTGTTTTTGATATTTCAAAACGAAAAACGAATGGACGCAAATATACACGGACCATGAAGTCGCGTGTATTTCATTGATAAATTGGGTCCAAATTGATCTTCATCAATAACTTAGTATTTCCATCTGTGGCATAATCCTACTTTAGTCCCACGTGGGATTTAACATTTTTAATTGCCTCGATTCTAATCGATTTTATATTTTTTAATTAAATTTAATATCGTTTGATTATTGAAATAAAGACGACAGAAATGTTTTATTTAGTATAATTATAAGTATATTTACACAAATATTAGAAAAAAGCAAAAAAAATATATATTATAATGAGAAGAAAGTTTTCCATAGGGGTGGGACTAAAACAGGATTAATATATAATAGACGTTTTTCCTTCAAAAATGTAATGAAATATAGTTATTATATATATTAATCCTGTTTTGGGTCCCACCCTGTATGTTAAAGCACTTAATTTTGCATAGGGATGGGACTAAAAAAGGATTAATATATATGTGTCTTATAAACTAAAAAGGATTAATATAAAGTGGTTTTTATATATATTAATCCTGTTTTAGTCCCACCCTATATGTTAAAACACTAAATTTTCCATACGGGTGTGACTAAAACAGGACTAATATATATGTGTGTCTTATATATTAAAACATCTTTAAACATGTTAAACAGGAGTAATAAATATGGTATATGTTTAATTATTGAATTCCAAACAAATTTATATGAAAAACTATACTTATACACAAAATACATTAAAATTGCATTTTAAAAGGTTTTTTCTTTTGGGGTATTTGTGACATTTTTGTATGTTCAGTTGTATGAGTATTCCTGTTATAAGCCTATATAGGAGGAAGAAGATCATTATTCTGCATTATTATGATGTTATTTTTTTTCAGTTCCCCAGTTGATGACAGATAAATAAAAAGAAATAGAGAAGATACATACATAATCATATATCTAATAATGAACGTCATTTAAAGTGTTTTTCTTTTTTCATTTTATATACGGAATAAAGCAAATGATTTTACCTTTTTGTATCATGATTAGAAATAACAAAATTTGGGACATATTTATTTCTTAGTTATGTTTTTTTTATACCTTACTGTCACTTGATATAGGAATACAAATAGAAAGTGGTGGTATCATTTTATATGATACAGCTATCAACGTATGTTTATTAGGTGGAACTGTAGGATGATGACATAGGTCATGATTCGATCCCTACTCATGTTTATTAGGTGGGACTGTAGGAGGATACTATAGGTCATGATTCGATCCCTACTCATGTTTATTAGGTGGGACTGTAGGAGGATACTATAGGTCATGATTCGATCCCTACTCATGTTTATTAGGTGGGACTGTAGGAGGATACTATAGGTCCTGATTCGATCCCTACTCATGTTTATTAGGTGGGACTGTAGGAGGATACTATAGGTCATGATTCGATCCCTACTCATGTTTATTAGGTGGGACTGTAGGAGGATACTATAGGTCATGATTCGATCCCTACTCATGTTTATTAGGTGGGACTGTTGGAGGATACTATAGGTCCTGATTCGATCCCTACTCATGTTTATTAGGTGGGACTGTTGGAGGATACTATAGGTCCTGATTCGATCCCTACTCATGTTTATTAGGTGGGACTGTTGGAGGATACTATAGGTCCTGATTCGATCCCTACTCATGTTTATTAGGTGGGACTGTAGGAGGATACTATAGGTCATGATTCGATCCCTTCTCATGTTTATAAGTTGGGACTGTAGGAAGATACCATAGGTCCTGATTCGATCCTTACTGATGCTTAATAGGAGGGACTGTAGGTGGAAACCATAGGTCCTGATTCAATCCTTACTAATGTTTAATAGTTGGAACTGTAGAAGGATACCATATGTCCTGATTACGTTACCTACTTATGGTTAATAGGTGGGACTGTAGGAGGATAACATAGGTACTGATTCGATCCCTACTAGCGATTATTAGGTGGGACTGTAGGAGGATACTATATGTCCTGATTCGAAACCTAGTTATGTTTAAAAAGGTGGGATTGTAGGAGGACAACATTGGTCCTGATTCGATCCCTACGGGTGTTAGGTGGAACTGTAGAAGGATACAATAGGTCCTGATTTGATCTCAACTGGTGTTTAATAGGAGGGACTGTAGATGGATACTATAGGTCATGATTCAATCCTTACTCATGTTTAATAGGAGGGACTGTGGATGGATACTGTAGGTCATGATTCATTCCTTACTCATGTTTAATAGGAGGGACTGTAGATGGATACTGTAGGTCATGATTCAATCCTTACTCATGTTTAATAGGAGGGACTGTAGATGAATACTATAGGTCATGATTCAATCCTTACTCATGTTTAATAGGAGGGACTGTAGATGAATACTATAGGTCATGATTCAATCCTTACTCATGTTTAATAGGAGGGACTGTAGATGAATACTATAGGTCCTGATTCAATCCTTACTCATTTTTAATAGGAGGGACTGTAGATGGATACTATAGGTCATGATTCAATCCTTACTCATGTTTAATATGTGGGACTCTAGGTGGATACGATAGGTCATGATTACGTTCTCTACTTTTGTTAAATAGGTAGGACTGTCGGTGAATACCATATGTCCTGATTCAATTCCTACTGATGTTAAATAGGTGAGACTGTAGAAGGATAACATAGGTCTTGATTCTATCCCTATGAATGTTAAAAAGGTTGAACTTAGACAGTCCCACCTACTAAACATACGTAGGGATCGAATCAGGACCTTTAGTATCCTTATACAGTCCCACCTATTAAACATAAGTAAGGATCGAATCAGGACCTTAAGTATCCTAATACAGTCCCACCTTTTAAACATAAGAAGGGATTGTATCAGGACCTTTAGTATCCTTATACAGTCCCACCTATTCAGCATAAGTAGGACTTGAGTAATGACCTTTAGTATCCTCCTACAGTTCCACCTATTAAACACTAGTAGGGATCGAATCAAAACTATATACGGAATAAAGCAAATAATTATGCCCTTTTTTTCTATCATAATAAAAATAACAAAATCTAGTTCATTCCTAGTAATGTTTTTTATACTATATTGTTAATCGAAATAGGTATAGAATAAGAAAGTATTGGTATCATTGCATATGAGACAACTATCCACCAGAGACTAAATATTCTTTAAGAGCCAATCCGCCAGAAAACCATGCAATATTCAGAAAATCGTCCAAATGGACAATCACAACTTGACAAATTTTTATACATCATCTTAATCCTTGACATAAAATAAAAGAATTTGACCACTTAATTTTTCCCAGAATCGTATCTATTTTTAGTAACAGCCTCATTTGCATAATTCTGTAAATTCATAATGAAACCAAGGAAAAATCCAACTTTTTTATGCCTTTTAAGAATGACCCAGAAGCATAATAAATGGGGTAGTTGAGTTTTTAGAGTAATGTCAGCTGAAACTCATCCATTTTACTATGTTATGATCAATACAAATGAAAATTTAAACGATTTGGCACATTGCCAGGAGCAGGGACACAAAGGCGGGGTTTTTCATACATGAATTTACGTGGTTTTCATTCGCTTCTATCTTGCAAGACCCATTCCGGATTTGTTTGCAACTTATATCGGTTTTAACTATGGGGTATGTTTTATATCAAAACAAAATATTAAGCTTGGCAAATGACTATTATATGTTAATTTATGCCTTGGAAGAATGGTGATTTTAGTCCCAAATTGACACATTTTGATTTTGATTTTAATTAAATTCTAAACACAATTGGTACTAAAATGGCTCATAAAATCATTCGAACAAGTAAAATCAATTTGTCTGAAAAATGAAATAAGACGTATTTGTACTGCAAGACCAAAAATCAATTAAATTGTCTGAAACCAGGGAGTCCATCTTTTTTGCTCTTCCATTGACTTATCTCCCTTGGGTAAGATCTCAAACATGTCAGCTCCCAGTGATGGTTTGGCAGACAAATGTTTACAGTGAAGTTTGTGACTTTAATAATCTAGGATGAGCATGTGGGCCATCCCAGCCTTATACATCTACATATTACAAACTATTTAAGATATCTGAATGCACTAAAGACCAAAATAGCATTTCCAAACAAAATAATTACTGCCAAGAAATTTGACAATCATGACAATAATTTAGTGAATAAACATGATAAATATTGATTGGAAAAATAAGTCCATGAACAGCAAAAAGTGTTTTTAGATTTCAACGAGCAAAACAAAAGTATTCTAAATCATTCTTCGTAAAAAAAAAGAGCGAGTGGAACCACCTTGCCCGCACCAAAATTGAGATTGAGAGTGTCAAAACTGCTCTGGCGCACCATCAATAAATCAACAACACTCTCTCTACCGTGGTATTGAAACCAGCATTGGTAACCAAACATATTCATACAGATACAGACTACCATTCATCTACATTTAGGAAGTCTGAATAATACTGAAAACTGTGGTGTAGAATTTCCAACAGGACTCCTTATTTTATATAAGACAAGGAGTGGTTTATTTTCCCATGGTTGTTACATCATCTTGTCTTTGAATATGCTCGAAGTACAGGGACTTTTATGGAATTCATTGACATGATAGTCAAGCAAGATGTCAACATCTCGTCCAACCCTCTTCCAGCAAAGCCTAAGCTGACCAAGGATCTTCACCCTTTCAAAACAGGCTGTATACAGGACGAGTTATTCCAGTAGGAATAGGTACAAATCTTACAATCAATTTTCATTTGTTCCATATAGTCAATCTGAAATTAGGGGACCAACAATTGATACATTAGCTAGATTAAAAAAAGGAGGGGTGGGTGTTGAAGGGGCATGTGAATATTCTTTTACACCTGACCTGTTTCTAAGACATCCTATTTATTTCCTATGGCAAAGTGCAAGCAAATAATATATATCCGTATATACATTGTTCTGTCTTGGGACCATTTGATTAAAAAAGCAAGGGGGAGGGTTAGAATGGTCAAAATATTTATGTCCTTGTCAGCTTAGGACAGAATTTTAATTTTCAAGCTATTAACCAGGGTACAATATATATTTATTTTCTGCTTTAAAAAATCAATTTATAGACCAGAATCATGATAATAATCAAAATCTATTTCAACATATGCAACGTTTAGCAGGTCAGGTTTTTATTCTCTTCCCCTAAGTTATATTTTCAGTTCTTACTGGAATTTGTTCAGCTCTTTGTCTACTAAAAAAACTTTTATCTCGTGGAAAAGCCTCCTACAAATACATGTTTTACATACAACATACTGTACATGTAACACTAGACAACTTTATCCAGAGAATAATATTTTTTTAATGAACTAATAGGCCATGGAGACTAAAAAAATCTAAAGCATTGCAAACTTTTGTAAAGTTCAATTTTAGGACCCTACATGTACATGTATGTAGATTACTTATAGAGGCCTTTTTAAAAGAAAAAACATACATTTAAACTACATGCACAGTGATGCTACACTACCCTACATTTCCTGTCTGATATATTTTATTTCATGTAAAACAAAATTGAAGAATTATTTTATAGTTTTAACACTTTTTATTTGTAGGGCTATATATATGCAAGCAATGCTCAATTAAGATGAATTTTTGTAAAAGTGACAATAGCCAGGTCAAAATAAATACATGTATAGAAGAAGATATTGGTAAGTTATTATTAACTTATATATTAATTTAACTGGTTGTATAACATGGTAATCATACAAAGTATATGTAATCACTTATATAATAACATAATTATACAATTACATGTTATACATTTGTACATCAGTTTTATTATACAGGTCTTTGTTAACTTCAGGTTTTCCCATTGAAAAATCACTTTGCTAATTTTAATTTGTAGTACTATATTGGGCGGCTCCTATAGTTTCCATTCAATAACTAACAATGACTAATGAACTGTTCATACATTCCATTTCAATTATTTTATTTATTAATTCGTATTACTTTTACTGTTAAGTCTGTTTTTTGTGATATCCATTTTACGTGACTCTGTATTTATGTATCCCGTCATACTTTGAACGACAAAATTATTTTATGTCTACCTGTGCGAATTTCAAACGCACAATTTTACGCCAGTACTTAAAACCTTCCATCCTTTATGGGTGGATTTTACATAGATATATAAAATCGTATAATATAAGCAAAATGAGGATGTTAAATTTGATGTACAATGATGTATGCCTTTTTGTGCTTCTTCGTTACATTTGTTTGTTTTTATAGTGATTAAGATGATAACACAATGTTGACTGCTGTACCCCTATTTTTGACAATTTTACCTATTGTGTCGGTTTGTTTTGTTCACGCATCGTTGTCAATATAATGGAATTTGATGCGACTGTCATACATGTACAAGTGAGAGGTTTATTATCTACTATAAAACCAGGTTCAATCCACCATTTTCTACATAAGAAAATGCCTGTACCAAGTCAGGAATATGACAGTTGTTATCCATTCGTTTGATGTGTTTGAACTTTTGATTTTGCCATTTGATTGGGGACTTTCCTTTTTGAATTTTCCTCGGAGTTCAGTATTTTTTGTGATTTTACTTTTTCAAATATAAAAGGGGGAGATTTTTATTGGTACTTTTGAAGATATTTCACCTGTTCGATTAATTGATTGGTTGTTGGTAATGCTAATGTCCAATGGCAAATAGTTCATGCATGTTTAGGACAAGAACAAATTAAAATAAATACATTATTTGGGTTCTTAATATGCTAAATCTAACAATGTATTTAAATAATTTAAGATGCTCCATTTTAAATTGGTTCACATTGATTTCAAAATGGTCCAAAAATTTTTTTCTTATTTCTACACAACTTGAATTCTTGAGGTTCTTTTGATATACAAAATGCAAATGTTTTATATTTAGATTTTTAATTTTGGTCCGGTTTTCAAATTTGTCCACATTTTAAAGTCCAAAGGGTCCAAATTTTAACTAAGTTTAATTTTAACAAAACTTGAACTCTAATTACAATGAATTAGGGTTCTTTGAATGATAAATAGAAATAATCAAATATCCTGAATATAAATATGTACTTAGATTTATGATTTCGGTCCCAGTTTTCAAGTTGGTTCAAATGGGGTCCATAATTTAACTGTGTTTGATTTCAACAATAATTTTAAAGATGCTGATTCAGCCTGAATCTAACCTGTAGTTAGTTTTGGGCCTTATTATGAAATTGGTTTACATTGAGGTCCAAAGGGTCCAAAATTAAACTAAATTTTAAATCTTAATTTGATCTTGGGGTTCTCTGATATGCTGAATCTATTAAACTTTATCTTTATACCATATTTATTCTGTGTTAGAAACCTATTCTTTGTCAAATACTTAATCCCATTTCAAATTTAGAGCTGTTATAGCTTGAATGTTCTGTCCAAACTTGCATCTCTTCTTCATCTTCCACAAAATTTGTCCTTTTCTGAGATAACTGGTGTTATCTTTTTAAATGAAACTTTAGTGAAAAGAAAAGCACAATATGTGGATGATTATCTGATGTCAAACATTTTCAAGATGGCCACCAAGGATGGCACAAATTTCAACACTGGTTAATTTAATGAAAATTGTTAATTAGGGATAGTCGTGGTAGTTTGACTTGCTAAACAAAGTAAGGTTGTTTTTTCTTCCAAAATGGCAAACATTTTCAAGATGGCCTTATATGAAAATTGACATTAAGGAATTATAGCACTTTTGACATGCCAACAAAACAATGAAATTTTTTTTTAAAGATGGACACAGCAAATAAAGGGTAAAATTTTCAATTTTGTTGAGTTTGATTTTAAAGAATATTGATATTTAGCTGTACTTTGACACAGAGAACAGATATAAAGATGGCCACCATTTCAAAGATTGTCACTAAAAGCGGTCAAATTATCACCATTGTCTGTTTTCAATGTAAAATTATATTGAGAGGTAATTTGACATGCCAAACAAAATGGAGGCAATTTTTATTGTTGTAAAGATGTTAAGGGCTATTTGGACATGCTTAAAAGGAGTGGATAATAACTATTCTGCAAAAATGATTTGGCTTTAGTTGGGAGAATTTTGTAACTGCATCCACTTACAGTAAAAGTTGTCAATTTTATTTCCTGTCAGTGGTATATATGAAATTAAAAAAAAATGTGGTATGATGCCAATGAGAACAAATGACATAGAAGTAAAGCTATAGATCTTCATACGCCATATGGCCTTCAACAATGAGCAAGACCTATACTGCATATATATTCAGCCATAAAAGGGCCCAAAATAAGAAATTGAAAGAATTTGAAAACTAACAGCCTGATTTATGTATGTATGTTTTGTGGTTTTCAGATCTAGACTCGCAGCTAACCTTTCTGTCAGTGTCAACAACAACTGAACTTTCACAGCAGTCAACATCAGATTGGGAGACTGATAATGCTTCTAACAGAAACAATTTCAACCAACCAAACAAGCAACAGAAACTTTCCAACTTTAAAACAACAGTTAAATCTTCCATGGGATGATGTCTCAAAAAATAAGAGTTCATCATTTATGGAGATTTTAACGTTATGGTTTTTCTTTTACAAGAAAGTTAATGTACACTTGTTTTATAGTAAAACCTATAGCCGTTCAAGTATAAAAAAACACATTCAACTTTATTGAAATTTGAAGATTCATATGACTTATTTTAATTCTGTTATCTCCGAGGATATGATGTAGAGCATTATAGGTACAGTAATCTTAACAGCTATCCAATTTCATTCAAAATTCTCTATAAATTTTGCACTGGTATATATAGACTAAGTAATTTGTTTTTCGTCTAGTTATGGGATTTTTTTTTAGAAGCATTTATGATTTTCATGTTTGTATTGACCACATTGCAGCAACATAGATATAGGTACCTGGCAAATCTTGCCTTGTTAGCAAACTAGGCTCAAAGGGTCATAAAAAAATTTCGATCACTTAGTGTCTGTTAAAATCATCTGTTTACAGTTTTCACTTTTAAACCATCATCTTAATAACTTTAGAAGAAGTGTCATACATATATATATGTATACAAAATTTAAAAACTTTTCAATATATATATATATATGCGTTTTGTTAAAATATACTTTTTCACTATTTTGGTCTTTTGGAAAATGTTGTTTGTGCTGTATTTAGACCCCTCTACCAAGAAATTTGTTTTACATGCACACGTATAAAAATTGCGGTTTTTATCCAACGCAATCATAGGTTTGAACGTTGTTTTCAATTTAGACTTGTTTATATATATATATATTGATAAAAACTATCAACATGACAAGATCTAAATACCCAAAATTTTTCTGAAAAATTGGACATAACATCTATGAGCTATTGTCCCTGAAATGTGTAAGTTTACAAATTTTCACAGTTTTCTGCTACTATCCGACAACTATATCAATATATTATAAGAATAAATTGCAAAAGTGGTCAGAAGAAACTTTTTTTTTACAGTCTGAACTTATTCTGAATTGTTTAACTGCTAATTTAAATTGATTGCGTTTGAAATATGTGTTTTTTATCATTTTAGGTGCACAATTTGTCAATACGATCTATTTCGGCTCCTGGGAGCCTCTAGATTTATAATGAATAATTTTTATTTATGTATGATTATTTTCTTAATGTATTAAATGAAACATTAATTATTCTTTTCCATTTGTTGTTATACTTATTTATAAGTCCAGATCCTATCATATGTCAGTAGTTACAAATTAGACGGCAAAATTGAGAAAATTTGAATATGCAGGTTACCCCATTTTTGTTGTGGCATATACCAGACACCAACATTATTTGCCGAGCTTGATATTTTTTTTGATTGGGTATATATAGTTATACTTTGCAAGTAGATATGTTGTTTTACAATAATAAACGGGTCTTGGAGTATTTTGGCTCTGAAAGATGACCAAAATCAGCCATTTTGGACATGTAGCTAAATAAGACATATTGAAACAGTTAGATTATACATACACTTAATAGACAGCATTGTTAATTCTATGCATTCTTACACTTAAAGTGATGTATTACTAGGAACAACTATCAAAAAATTATATATGTTACCATATTTTTTTATTTAAACCAGCGAAATATGCCAAAAAAGGCTTATTTTTGCTGTTTTCGAGCAATTTTATCTGTTAAAACATGGCGCTCTAAAAATATCCAGATCGGTTCAATATTTTCCCAAAAAAATTTGTGTGGTTATTTACATTACTAAGGTGCACCAATATGCCAAATATGAACTCATTTGGAAAAAGTGACATTCAGACGGTTTTGCATGGTTTTCTGGCAGATTGGCTCTTAAGTGTATGGAACTTAATTAAAATTTCAAAAGGCAGAAGGATACTATTTATGTCAGCAGAGACAGAAAGGGTCCTTCCCAGGTATAACTTGTATGACTATAGAAACAGAATGAAGCAGGAAACCCTGCAAAACATACTGCATATTAAGCTGAACAGTGACAAGCAATGCCTTGAAAAATTGTGTGACAAGGTGGTTGACAAGTGTTTTCAGCATAAAAGTAGACAGATAGAGTTTTATCGGCGCTAAAAGACAATGTTTGATTAATATCTTTATTAAAACATGCCCTTTTCATATAATCATATCATGCGTTAAATGTCCTTTTTCAGGATTGGCACCCTGCCCTTTTGAAATCCTAGCTGGACTACTGTATGTCATGATTTAAATCAAAATTGTGTTTAAAAAGAAGGGACTGTAGGAGGAAAACATAAGTCCTGATTCGATCTCTACTTGTGTTTTAGAGGTGGGACTGTAGGAGTGTACCCATAATACTACCATAGGTCCTGTTTCGATTCCTACTTATGTCTAATAATTGTGACTGTAAGGGGATACCATAGGTCATGATTCCATTCTATTGTCTTTCAAGGTCAAAGTTCAATGTCATTTTTAAAGTCTTTGTTGATTGTGTATACGTGTCCTTCAATGTCAAAGTTCAAGGTCTTTTTTCTATGTTTTCCCCCAAATAAATCCTAGCCCCTTTTTTTAATAATACCCCAAAAGAAAAACCCTTTTAGAATGCAATTTTAATGTGTTTAACTCTTTTGTGTATAAGTATAGTATTTCATATAAATGTTTTTGAAATTCATTAATTAAACATATACAATATTTATTACTCCTGTTTTATGCTGTTTTTATATATAAGACATCCAGTTTAAGTCCCACACCTATGGAAAATTTAATGTTTTAACATGCAAGTAGGGACTAAAACAGGATTAATATATATATATATATAAGCAACTTTATATTACTCCTGTTTAGTATATAAGACACATATATATTAATCCTGTTTTAGTCCCACCCCTATGGAAAATTTACTGTTTTAACATACAGGGTGGGACTAAAACAGGATTAATATATAACTGTATTTCATTTTGGTATATTTTTTTCAAATCCTGTTTTATATAACTGTATTTCATTAATTTTTTTTAGGGAAAACCTCTATTAATTATTAATCCTGTTTTAGTCCCACCCTTATGGAAAAAATTGTTGTTTTAGCATGGAAGGTGGGACTAAAACAGGATTAATATATAACTGTATTTCATTTGGGTAATGTTTTTCTAATTCTATTCACCACGTTTAGATTGATAATTACTTCTTCGCATATATTTAGTTCTAACAATGGACAATTTTGTTTTTAGTATTTTTATTCATGTTAGTACTAATTTTGTGATGTCACATTCGTGGTAAGTGAATGAATTGTGATTACGACAATTGGAACATATCCATGTTTATCTGTGACACAAATACTCCATAATGGTCAAGCAATTCGGGATGGCGTCCGTAAACATTCGAAATGATGACTTCAACTTTATTACTTGGAACCCTTAGTTTTATATCTTCTTAATACGCAGCAACCCTCTATCAATGCAATCGTGTTATAACAATCTAATTAAAATATAGATCTCGGATTTCGTTATACTACGTTATACTACATACGAAGATCTAACAACTACCCGTATAAGGTTTCACTTCTGAAAGATTTTGCATGTGACTTTTTCAACCAATCAGAATTCTAGTTATCCAATCTGAACAGCGCACGCGGAACATATTTACTTGAATGAGGTTTATTGAAAGGTCCCGAGGGTATCCAAAAAATAAAAACAATGTGACTTGAAATTTATCGCTTCGATTGTTAATCGTTTGGAAATAGTTTTTAAATCTCTTTCGTCGTCATATTGTAACTATAGCCATGAATATTTGAAATATGTGACGTTTGTCAAAGTTCCTCATATGCTTTATGACTTGAGGTCGGATCGTAATCGTGGAAATTAAAGAGTACAGTAAACACTGTTAAACTGTACACTATAGCACTGCCAGAGGCGGATCCAGAGGGGGGGCTTCCGGGGGTTGGAACCCCCCCTTTTTTTGACGATCAATGCATTTGAATGGGGACATAAAGTTGGAACCCCCCCTCTTTATCCTGGGTTAGGAACCCCTCCCCCTTTTATAAATGGCTGGATCCGCCCCTGACTGCTTCCCTCTGCCAGACGTGGATCAAGGATTTTGATAAGGGGGTGCAAACTATGCATAGTTTGAATGGGACATGTAAAAAGTCTAAGCATTGATAAACCATACATATATATGTTTAGCGCCACAAGCACCCCCCTCGGCTTGCATACAAGAAAAAAAACTGTCCTCTATTAGCTGCTCTGGTGAAGTTTTTTTTAGCTCAGTTGGTCGAGTCTTCTAGAGAGGTGCCTTACTGTACGAATTTTTGTGAACTGTCAGGTGGGGGGTGGGGCTCTTTTATTTTGTATCTAGTAAGAAAAAAATCTTAGGTAGTAGGCTATATATTTAAATACATGTGTATTTCCTATACAATTCCCATGCTGTAGCAGATACATATATACAAAAAAACAATCCTTGTCTATCATTGACATAATAATTGATAAATAAAATTCTATCTTGATCTGTAACTTGTCATGATAAAACAATACACCAAAAATCAAATCAATATCTTCAAGCACAAGAAAAAAAAAAGTGTGGAAAACTGATTTGCAAGACTGACAGATGGACAGACAGACAGACGAATGGAGTGCAAACCTAAAGTCCCCTTCGACTTTGACGGTAGGGGACTAATAACCAGGCATTTTGTAATATCAATATATGATTTAGATAGCTGTGAATTTAGCTCGAACTGAAAATTCTTGCTTTTTTACCTTTTAAATAAATCCTTACATTTACAGCTAGCAATAAACCTGACTTCCAAATAACCTTGCATTTTGTAAGATCAATATATGATTGAGATAGCTGTAGAGTTTTATTCAAATCCAAGTTAATTTGAAAAAGTTATATAGGGAGCTACCATTTTATTTTTAGGGGGGGGGGGGGGGGGGGGGGGCTAGGATGAAATTTGAAAAAAATAGGCAGGACAGGAGTTTTGAGTAAAAAAAAGGCAGGATGAGACACTTGCAAAAAAAAAAGTCAGGCCACACTTAAAAATATTTTGGTTTGCCCAAACCCTACCCAAAGGTAGAGACAGTGGGTAGGTAGGTAGGCATTTTCTTTTTTTTCAGTAAAGAGTAATTAAAGTGTCAGATGATTTTTAGTCTTCATGCCTATCTGATTAAAAAAAAAACTTTTTCACATCAGGACAATAAAAGATTTTGAGTAGGCAGCTATTATATGGGTAGATAGGGTTAGGGCAAACAAACATGGCCTCCGGATGACAATTTAGGTTAAAAAAAAAGTCAGGATAAACTTTAAAAAAGGCAGGACCAAATAGAGTGAAAAATAAAAAGGCAGGACAGATATTACAACTAAAAAAAATGCAGAACAAAATTTTTCATCCTAGCCACCCCCCCCCCCCCCCCCCCCATAAAAATCAAATGGTAGCTCCCTTAGTCCAAAATGAAAATTCTAGCTTTTTTTACCTTTTAATCAAATTTTAAAAATTGAAAGCAATAAACTAAATTATCAATAACCTGTCATTTTTTAAGATCAATATATACTTGACATAGAAGGGCTGCAGAAGTCATATGCAGAATATAGTGGCCCCCATTGCTTCAAAGTGTCTGCAAAATAGACCAAATCATAAATAATAAATCACGAAAAAGGTCAAGGTCAGAAAAAAATGCCTGTGTCGGACATGTTCACCTTAAAATCATTCCATACACCAAATGTAGAGGCCTAATTGCTAGTTTGAGAAATAGACTTAACCACAACAACTAAAGATTGAACCATGAAAAAGAGGTCAAGGTTCGATGAAAACTGCTAGTCCAAAATGCATATGTACATCTAACAATTATTCTATACACCAAATATAGTTGACCTATTGCTTATAGAATCTGAGATACAGACTTGACCATAATACATTTGTAAAGTGAAAATTTCAAATGAGAAAAAAAAAGCATAATTTTTAATCAAGCAGTCACTGAACCATAAAAATTAGGTCAAGGACAATGGACATTTGTTGGACAGAAACTTAGTGACTACACATATAAGGTACACAAAAATGTATCTGTGTACAAGGTATAAAACATCCAGGTCATCTATCTTCTGAAATATCAAACTTTATTCAAATAGTTTATGCTGCTGCACGATTATGCTGATTGTAATCCCTAAGTGTCACATTTTACAACAATGGTCTCAGGTGACACAAAAACTATTTCATTAAATTCAATCACATTTCATGTG